CTTACTTAATCATAATAATCTGTTAGGTTACCATTTGTAGATTGAGCTTTTGCTCTTTATGGAAGAAAACCTCCTCGGTGAAGGGGAAACCCTTGGGTTTCACAATAAGCAAAAGTTCAATCTACAAATAATAGCCGAATAGAATAAATCCTTTCCTCTTAAATCTATTAATTCCTATTACTAATTAACTACTCTAACAGTCTATAACTAATTTCCCTTTCCGTTCTATCTAATTCCTAACAAACTGCTGTTCCTGCCATTGTAGTGCGCTTGATTATACATAGTTTTTGCCTCCCTTCATTTGCTTTATATGCATTTGTCTGAGAAAACTTCTAGTGCTAGGTTGCCAGCAAATGGTAATGCCCTAGGGAAGTAGTTTGTTTTTCTACAGATTTCTTTTCTCAGGAGTAGGAGCTTGGGTGATCTGTTTTAAACGGAGGTGGTCAGGAACACTTATGTGTTCGCCTTTAATTATTGATTTGACTTTTTTGACATCATAGGAGATAGTTTTTGGTGCCGAGCTCCTCTGAAATTGTGTGCAAAAATGTAATAGGTGTCAAAGACGAAAACACTATTGGTGAATTGATGGCAGAAGGATATGATTGCATGAAAGAAGCGTTGATGGGATGGGTTTGTACCCTGCGTTGTGAAACCATGTTGAATTTTAGAGTAGAAGAGAGAAAGTGAATCTCAACATTAAAATCTAACTGATTTGTTACAATTAAAACACACTTACATACAATTAAAACTCACTTACAGTGAGAGTGAGTCAACTATTTATAGTTGGCGAATTGCATTTTCTTCCTGCACCCTTCACCTTATTCCATACATCTTTGATTTTCTCAAAATTCCTAAACTACCCTTCCCTCTCACTTCACCCTTCTCTTATTCTCCCCTATTTTTGAAACCCTTCTCCCTCGCCCTTCATTTCCTATTCCACACCTTTTTTCTTTCATCTCCTGGTTTTGTAACTTTTCTATCGTCGGCTTCTACTTCGTGGTGGTTGCCTTCACCAAAGTGGTTGGATTTTCATTTTTGGCATTTCTTTTTATAGTCTTTGGAACATCTAATCCATGTGTTTTTTTATCTATCCAAAACAAGCATTCCAGATGGGTTTTGTGTAACCAGAATTGTCAAACGCTTATCCAAAACACCCAATGAAGATTAATGCTTATTCGGACAATGTTTATCTGGAATGGGTGGTTCCAAAAACCCATTCATTCGGATTGGGTGCTCTGGATAAGCATTCAACCGTATTTGTTGTTCCGGATTGTAACCTCCAAAATGAGTGCTCCAGAAGGGACTCGTCAAAGTAGGGTTATTATTGGAACCTCATAAAAAGAAGGGTGTATAGCTTAAAAGGATGGGTGTAGGGA